CTCTCCATGGAAATCTCAATCTCTCATGAAAACCCACAGGTAGCCATGGATATCAAGAAAAAAATAGCTTGCTCCATTTTACATGATTTCTCTGGAAAATCCTCCTGTAGATCTACAGCATAATTGTAGACCAGAAGACCTTAAGTTGGAAGTTCTTCATAGCTACTCACATGTTCCATCTTAGGTCATGTATTTCAAATCTCCCTTTCTGTGTTATGTTCCTGTGTCACCGTCTGGAAAAGGCGGCTCGCTAACTCATGAACAAAGCTCCTATAAAGGCAGTCTGTCTTCCTAGGCAGGTTGCAATCATTCACCACAAGGGAGAGTTCTAAAATTTCTTTGAAAAATTAAAAGCCTGAGAAAGAACTATGAAGGGCCTTGTAGAAGGACAAGAAGGACTAAAGGCATAGGGAAAGTAGGAAGGGTAGGGGAAAGGAAAAAAGGCAAAAGAAAAAAATCTGAAAGAAACGGAAGAAAAGTTTTTGTAAATAGGGAAGGGAGGAGAGGGTGAAGGAAGGGCGGGGTAGGGGAAAATGAGAACCAAGAGCTGTCATGTAAAGGTACAAGATCCCAGTGATGAATGTAACTGTACTGTAAACCTAAAAAGTACCAATAAACTCAATGAGAAAAAAATAAAGACACATTTGCCTAAGTGGGGGGAGGGAAGAGGATCTTAGCCTTATGCACAGGTCCTTGTAGAACCATAAAAAACAGTCCGAATAATGAACTGAGCCTTCCTCAAAGAATGAAGTCACACCTACATCACTCTGCATGGAAAAATACCATGTCATTGTCTCTGGGCTGGGACTACCTTTGATCACCAGACCTATCTGCAAGCTTGTTCACTCAGACACTACAAATCTGGCAAGCCCAGACCACCTTCTTTACACAAAAAAAGTTGATCTCCTCTTCAGCAAGTTCCACTTCATCAAGGAATATTCCAGTTCGTCTTTGGGTGCACATAAGTGGAGACACTAATGACCTCAAAACCATCACAACTGAAATGGACAGTGTAAAGAGACTGCTGCTCATAATAAATGCTAGGGCTACAGGTGTACAGTTTCTTGTAATTTATCTAATATCCTTCTATGCCTTGGCATTAGCACATGTGTACTTTTAATATCACCATTTTACATTTATAAAATAATGTTTTAGCCATTAAAATTTCTTGGTAACATGCTGTGTCTCACATTCCAACATATAAAACAGCCTGTGAGGCTGGGTATAGTGGCCTCTCTCTGTAATATAAGCAATCAGTTGGCTGAGGAAGGAGGATCAAAAGATTGGTATGACCTGGAGGCAAGCCTGGACTTCATAGTGATTTCAGGACCAGTTTGGACTACAGAGGGAGGCCCTTTCTCAAAAAACTGAAAAAAAAAACCTTTAAAATAATGTTGTAGATAGGCTGTAAAGATAAAAGTGAATATTTGATCATGTGAAGTTCCTGCACACCACTGCACACCCAGGAAGGCAGTGCTGGGTACCAGGATTGCTGTGAGGGATGGGCCACCCTGACACCCCAGTCCATGAGCTTTCTAGCTGGCAGTGCCACTGAAGGCTGCTCCATGCACTGGGGCAACTCCCCTCTACCCAGTTTCTCTGCCTTTTCTCCCACAGAGAGAGCAGCTCCTGGGTTAGGTGAGTTCACCCCTTTTGGAACCTACAGTCTGTACACAGCCATGTAAATGGCAGTATTTGAGGAAAGCAATCAAAATTAAAATGAAGTTCTCTTAGTATCCTCTAATTTTCTTTGAAATAAAGACCTGACTGTAACCTAACTGTGCCTTTGCTGGTTGTGTGTGATGCCCTTGATTCTGCCTCTGAAGCCATTTTCACTACTTTGCCTTTAGAAAAACTTCCTTCCAAAGAAAGGAAATCAATCCACATACAGAGTCAGGTGTTAAATTGGGCAGTGAAGACACATCTCTGTGCCCAAACGGGAAGGAACTTTTCTAAGATAGAAACTAAAAATATTGATGCCATACTCTTAAGTGAAAAAAAAGTAGGACATATATGTGTAAATAGTGAATAGTTTTTCTGGTGTGAAAAGCTAAAAGAGTAAATAAGATCCCAGTTGTATAATTGATAATGTGAAATAGGTAAAAAAGTGCTATAGGTGTAGGGGAAGTGGGAAAGGTAGGGAGAAGGAAAGAAGTGAAAAGGAAAATTATGATAAAAGGAAAAAATTGAAACAAAGTCCCTGTAAATATGGAATGGTGGAGGGGGTGAAGGGAGTGCAGGGGTATAGGAATAAAAGGAGAACAAAGACCTGCCATGTAAAGGTTAGAGGTACCAATGATGAAAGTAATTGTACTAAACACTTAAAATGTAAAAATAAATTCAATAAAATAAAAAAAGAAAGGGACTGAAAAATAAAATAAAGATAGGGACTATGAAGCTTTCTTTATAATCAATAAAAGTTACCTGGGATCATGTTCAACACATCTTTCAGCAGCATAGCTTTATGTTGGCTCATAAAAGGGGGACAGAAAGGCTATTTTCCTGTGTGTTTTTAAAGTCTGATACATCATCATCTTATCATTTGGATTTCTCCACAGGTAAGAACGTAATATTGGAGAGAAGGAAAATATAATTTATTTTAATTAAGAACTAAACGTTGCCATATAGTTCAACATGTCGGTATTCCATAATTTGTAGATTATAAGGTGTCCTCTGAAAATATACTTATAATCAAACATCATTATTGAAAAGTCTAAACTAGTTTCTACTAGAAAACGAAATAGGGATCCTTGAATATTTTATGAAAAAATAAGAAAATTACAAATATAAATTCATACTTGAATTAGAGCCTTTGAGGATTAGCAACCCTTCTGCTGTTAAGGTTCCAAGACATTGATTTTGGTGAGCTCAGCCACACTGGAAGGAACAGACCCAGCCTTTCCTGAGCTTCCTTTCTGCCTGGACTCAGCCAGCTGGACTGAGGAGGCAGGCACCAGCCTCTGCACCGGGACCGCTTGGTCTTCACTGCTGGACTTTACTATAGGGCACTGAAGATATGTTGTCTTGGAGACTTCAGAGGAAAGAGGAAAGGAAAAGACAGGAGAGCATTTCCTATACCCTGCTTGTGCCCTGTCCAGTCAGCAACATGACATTCACCAAGGCAAACAAGTTCAGCTAAAATATGAGGAATACAGAAATAGATTCCGACACCTCAGTGACAAAGCTGTAAATACTTATGGATGCACAGGGACATGGTGTGTTGGAGAATGGACTTATAAATTAATGTACCATGAATTTAGAATTCTAAATATAAATAACCAAAGCAATAATCAAAATAAATAAAATAATTAATATTTCAGAGAAGAGCTTGTGTTCAATAGGCTGAAGCCCTGTCGGAGATAAAATCATTTATTTCCTACCTATTTCAGGATTTGGGGCTAAGGCCACTGTAACAGCAGACTGATGATTGAGAGTAAAATGTGCACATTTATTTAGTCACAACTGGAACATGACTAATGTGACTTTAAAAGAAAATGAATTACCAAAGTATCTGAGAAGCGTGCATTATGGAGAAATACAAAGTCTGTGAGTTCATTCTCCTCTCGGTGTCTTCAGAGATAGGAAGCCCTGTCCTTGCAGCATCCAGAAGGCATCTCAGGAACAAGAGTCTTATCATCCTGTTAGGGAAGAAGCACAGAGCAAATGACTTACCCAGGCAGGGCGCAGGAATGAGTCTTGTGATCCTCTTCAGGGAAGAAGGGTGGAAGGAATGACTTCCGGAGGATCTTTGTCAGGGTCCCACCACACGTGAAGAAAACATATTGACAATCCATAAACACAGTGAAGAACACGACAGGAAATTAACTTAATATAACACCCACACGAATCAAGACTTTGCTCAATGTGGGTTGCATAATCACAAATTCTTGATTTTATAATTGGTGTTTTATAGGAGCTAGAACAGCCTTTTCTCCACAATAATTGTTCTGAAGAAGTGAGAAAATCAGATGATACAGAACTAGTGACTTACCTTATGTATAACCTCTAAACATGCAAAAGAGTTGCATCTGTACTCTGACAAAACAGTGAAAGTATTTCCAAGGCCACTGAGCTGTGAAGAAGATTCTGACATGAAACAACATCCATCTGCTATCTAATGTTCTTTGTGTGTTCATAACTTTTTCCTCCCTCATCATCTAGTTAAGGCTTAGCCTTCCCTTCATCTCCACAGTTCAAGTTCAAGTCCTTGGAGACACAACGGGGAACTGTGCACCAGGGTGACCCCTTCCAGCCCAAGGAGCTTCTTGTCCCTGCTCTGTGGTCATTATAAGGACAATTTCTTTTGTTCCCAGTGAGCTGTGCCCTTCATCGAAGAAAGGGCTACTTTAGTATTACCTCAGTGGACCCATCATATTTTCTTACAGTCAAAAATACATTAGGTATGAATAAATATAAAGCAACACATTGATAAAAATGTGGTATTTATTCACAATGGATAAGTAGTCTGCTATAAAAAAACATAAATTTTAAAAATTAGTATAAAAATCTATTATCCTTATGTCTATATGTCCATAACATTAAGTGAGAGAAATCAGATTAACAACTTAAATATTGCATGGTTTCTCTCATTTGAGAAATGCAAAATAAAAATAATTAAAATAGAAACAGTAGATGATACCACACAGGAAAGCAGACTATTGCAGATGGAGGAAGGTCAGGAGCTGCCTCACTCTCCACAATATCTTGGCGCCCCTGAGGTTCCCTTCTCTGGGTGGCTCTGCTCTTCTCCTTCTCTCTTCTCCCTCATATCCCCAGGATTGCAGTCTGACTCCTGTCAGAGAGCTCTGTGCTCCTGGACTCAGGGGCTCTGCTGGGTTCTGCTTAGGGATGGAGCTTTCCTTATTGATTCTGACTCACCAGCAGTGAGGAGGACGCCCAGAGATGCAGATGTCTGTGGTGTTCTGGGGACCATGGGGAGAAACAGTGCCTGCTGCAGAGATGTTGGGCTACCCTTTCCCCCATTGACTGTGGCTGTAACCATGAATGCCTGGGCCCTGTCTGCAGTCACCTCCCAGGTGGGTTTCCTCTTCCAAAGGGGGAGAGTGTGCAGGGAGCAGGCTTCTGACTTTGGCCTCACAAGCTGCAGCTTATGTCAGCCTACTATATTGAGATACAATTATTTGTCTGAATACAAGTTTTCCCTGTATAGGGTATGATATATTGAGGGTTCAAGTCATTTTTTAAATATCCCTTAGGACAGATTTGGTTTAAAGTGGACTTCCACAAGAAAATGTAATAAAGCAATGAACATAATTTATTACGACTTTTTGTCCATTTTATCTGTCAAATGAATGGAAATCTCCTTTTCATGTCACTCATGAACAATGTGAAGAATTTTTTTGTTTTCCAAATCAGAAAATGAGTATAAGTATGTGTTGACAGCCTCCTAATCCATTCTACTTAGATCATTGAAAATGTAAGAGTTTCTATTATGATTTATTTTCTTCTATTTTGAATTAAGTCATCCTCCAAACCAACTAAACAACCCCTCACTGGCTCCTTGCAGTGGGTGCCTGGCACACTGTTGTGTTTATGAGGGGTAGACTCCACTCTGTGCATCACACCGCACTAGTAGAAGAGATCTCAATGACTCTGACTTCTGTCCCCTCGTGTGCACCTGTGTCCCCATAAGCTACCGTGTGATTAGTTGTGCGGCGAGAAGAATATGTGCAGGGGAACAGATGTTTCTACATATTATGTGGGATCTGCTGCAGGAAGATAAGTACAGAACTGCACCACATTTAGAGGATACAAGTGAAGAAGTGTGTTTAAGGACAATGTTCACAGAACAGAAACCTTGGGCTGCACACCTCTGAAACATGTGACTTGGAAAAAAAATGTCATGTGTGTGACTGTACACTAATTCATTGGTCTTAGGCAGGCTTGGGGCAAGAGGGTCAGCGACTTGAAAGAAACATGACTGGAAAACTGGTAATAGAAATAGGGGAGAATTGCATGCAGAAACATCTCCTTATTGTTGAAGAATGTCAAAATATTTGTATAACACTTAAATGTTCATGAGAAAGCAATGTCAAAAGAACGATATCTTAAATAGCATGGAATAGAAAATCCCATTCAGACCACACTATGATTGCCCCAGTGCGCTCCTGCACCAAGGGCTCATCCTTACAGAGGTGAAGTTTATGAGTGGGCTCAGAAACACTGCCTTGCACTCCGCAATGCTGACCTGGCTACATCCACTGCTGAGTGTCCCACCTGCCAGGAGCAAAGTCCATCCCTACGCAATGGTATCACACCATTTCCCATGGTGCTCAACCTGCAACCTGAGGGCAAATGTTCATATTTGACTGGTCTCATCATGAGTGTGGTCACTCTTTGTCCTTAGAGCAATACACACATCCTGGGTATGGATTGTCTTTCCCTGCATGTTGTTATTGTTCCATAACTAGCAACTTTTTGCTTAGAGAGTGTTTCATCCACCATCAGATCGTTTTTGCCTAGTGTAGCTTTTTAACAAAGAGTGCTCTTCAAGGCTGAGGAAGAAGGCAATGGGCTTCTGCTCTTGGAATTCTCCAGTTATGACTCATAATCTAACATTCAGATGCAAGTGGATGAAAGGCTCTTTTGAAGATAATCACAGTGCTGCTATGCAGCAATACCTATGGCTAATTTACACGTAATTCTATAAAAGTTCTTAATCAGTATCCACCATCTGGAAGTCCATCTCCCACACTGTGATACATATGTCCAGGTTTCTATCAGTGAAAATTGAAATATTAGCACTGACTGTTACCCTCAAGGACCCACTACTGATATATTTACTTTTTTATTTTTGTGACCTTATGCTCTGCTAAACTAGAAGTTAGTTCCACTAAGGGAAAAGTTTTGCTAATGTAGCATCAAAGAGTCTTTTGCAATGCAGTCTGAATATGTCTTCTTATGATTTGAGGCTCTTCATGCACCTGAATCCTCAGGTTACACAGGGAGATATGATGTTAATGGGTTGAGTGGTCCAGAGTGACAAGGAGAAATTGCATTAGTGCTCCAAAGTGGAGTGAGGAAGAGTAAGTTTGGAATGCAGAAAATTCCTTAGCACATCTGCTGGTATTACCATATCTTGTTATTAAGATTAGACAGGTTCTTTCTGCTAGTTCCCATGCTACTGAGGATTTGTTCATAAAGCCTTTTCCTATACCAATGTCTTCCAGAGTTCTGTCTAACTTACCTTCCAGCAAGTTTAATGTTTCTGTTTTAATATTTAGATCTTTAATCCATTTGGATTTTAATTTAGTGCATGGCGAAAGATAAGGGTCTAATTTTAATCTGTGGCAGGTTGATATCCAGTTTTTCCAACACCATTTATTAAAGAGGCTATCTTTCCTCCACTGAGGATGGTGAGCTCCTTTGTCAAAGATGAGGTAGCTGAGTACATCTGCATTTGTTTTTGTGTCTTCCAGTCTGTTCCATTGATCCTCAGGCCTATTTCTTTGCCAGTACCATGCTGTTTTTATCACAGTGGCTTTGTAGTATAGTTTCAAATTGGGAATTGTTACACCTGGTGCCATGTGACTGTTGCCTATAATGGCTTTTGCTATTCTAGGTCTCTTGTGGTTCCAAATGAA